TGTGGCCAGGTTCCGGCTGGCAGCAAGAGCAGCAGCAGTGGTAGAAGCAGTAGCCTTAGGCTTGAGCCACGGGCCGGGGTTGGCGTGGCCAGCAGCGGTGGTGCCTCCAGGACCACACGAGTGTAGACACATGTCCCTTGGCATGAGCACCGCTTTTCTCCATCATTTCTAGGGGCGGCCCTCCCAAAGTTCGCACCCATTATGACAGATTTTGGGTTCACAGGAATCCTGCCAATACTACGCCAATTGTCAGTCTGGGGAAAGGAAATTCCGGGCAAAATACTCCTAAAAACCAAAATCAGTCAAAGGGAGAAATAAAGTTTGAAACCCATTTATTTCTTACAAACTGCAGTCTCAGGCCATCTTTCTCCTCTGCTCCAGCAGCCACAACACTGTCCCTCCCTCTCACCTCTCAGGTACAGATAAGTCCTCAGTTGTCCAGGTAAATCACCCATTGATATGGAGATGAACTCCTCCACCTCTGAGGAAAGATGCAAATGCACTAAAGCCATACTTCTTTCTACCTCTGAACGCCTATTGATATGCAGATATACTAAAGCCAGGCGAGATATTCTGGAAATGCTACAATTTTACCCACATTCAGACATTTCTTAACAAGTCTGAATATATGCAGAATTTTATGCTTGTTAACTTTCCCACTGCACCAACCTGTTTTAAGTTACCACTGTTTATATGTGGACTTTTGCAATAACCTCCTAACTACTGTCCCTGAATCTGCTATATTAAAACCAAAAGCCAGATCTCATCACTCCTCTGCTCAAAACCCTCAAATGGTATTTTTCCTTTACAGTAAAAGCCAAATATCTAACTAGGACATAGAGAGCCCTCTGTGGTTCTTTATTACCTCTCCAAATTTACTCACTGCCATGTTTCACTTCATTCTCTGTGTTCTAGCCACACTGGCTTCCCTGCTGTTCCTGGAACACACCTGGCAGCCTTCCTTCATGGACTTTGCGTGGCTGTTTATTCCCTCCTGTCAGTAACAGCTTGTTCTGGTGCTCCCTTCAGTTCTTTAACTCAGGGGTCTCCTCTTTGCAAGTCTTTTCACTAGCCAACCTAAAGTTTCAACAACCCTCCCCTAAAAATATTTATCCCCTTTGCTCTATTTTTTCTTTTTGATACTTTTAGTATCTAACATACTTTATGTGTTTACTTATTTATGTATGTATTGTTTATTATCTGTCTCAACCTATTCTTGGACACCAACTAACAAACCAGAATTCAATGCAATCTGACACTAATCGACCCAGTGTTGGGCAGACTCCACAGGTAAAGGCTCCGGCCCACAAGACTGCCCCCATTTCAGATGCCAGTCGCAAGTCCCAGGCCACCCATATTTCTACCAGCTATAAATCACGGGTTCCCACAACACCTTCCTCAGGTTCAATAATTTGCTAGAACAGCTCCCAGAAGAAGGAAAACTTACATTTACTGGTCCATTATGAAACAGAAATGAACAGCCAGGTGAGGAAGTGTACTGGAGGAGGTCCAAAAGGGTCCTAAGCAAAAGAGCTCATGTGTCCCAAGGAGTGGGAGTGAACAACCCTCTTGCACTGAGAATGTCTGCATTGAATCTCCTTGTTCAAGCATTTTTAGAGCTCAGCCACCAGGCCAGCCCTCCTCTCCCAGAGACTAGGGGGTTGGGACTCAGAGTTTCTAACTTCTAAACACACCAGATCTTTCAGGAGATCACCTGCAGCCCTGAGACTGTCTAAACACCCCACCCTACATCACCTTATCTGGCATAAATCCAAATGTGACCCAAAGGGTCTCCTTAAGAATAACAAGATGGTCCTGTCACACAGGAAATTCCAAGGGTTTTAGGAGCTCTGCCAAGAACTGGGAACAAAGACCAAATATTTACTTTTTATTTTACCACACTCTTCCTCTAGAATGTAAGTTCCATATGGCAGGCAATTTTTTTTCTCTGTTTTACTTTATAGAATTATTTAATGTAAAATATTTTATGCAATATTCACATAATTTACATACTTTCTATTTTATTTTTCTTTACTCTATTCAACACTATCTCCTAGTGTAACAATAATGAACTCAGTAGATGCTAAATAAATTTTAATTAATAAATTAAAAGGTTTCTTACTATATGCCAGGTTTTGTATTATGTATTTTACTTACTTTATTGCCATAAACATTAGTTTCTATCATACTTCCTATTTAACTGATGAAGACAGCCAGAATTTTGATAGGTTCAGTGGCATGTTCAAAGTCACTCAGCAAGTAAATATAGGAGCAAGGATTCCAACCCAGATAATCTGACTCCAGGTTCCAGTTACTTTTCATTCCATAGTTATTGATAGAGAAGTAAATTCACAGTATGTTGTTAAATGAAAAAAGTAGACTGTAGAACTATAACATTCTTTTAAATAGTACGCATATACATATTTGTGTAGAGATTTAAAAATTTAAGAATTTATTCTAAAATGGGACCTCTGAGTAATGAGATTTTCAGTTACCTTTATTTTCCCAAATATTTTTCTTTTCAGCATTTTTGGTAATGGATGTACTGAAGTCAGAAATACTAAGTTCTTTAAAACTATAGTAATCAAAATATTTTAAGGCATATTTTCTATTTCTTTGAAAAGTTTTAAATTATTTTAATTAGTCATATTTAAGAGATGGTTTGATCTCTTCTCAATGAGTAAGTTCACGTTCTGTATCTTTCCTAATTCTACAATTTAAATTCAAGTGTATTCAGCCAACTAAACAACCAGGACTTATAAATGTGTTTACCATCTTTCATAGCTTAAAATGCATATGGGTCCTATACAAGCCCAGTTAAGATTGCCTATAGTACATAAAATCCTTTCACCATCCCCACCAACATCACATACCAGAAACTCTCCATCCAGCTGATGATAAATTCTCTTAAAATCAGGTCTCCTTGATACAAAGTTCTTGAAGTTCAATTTCAAAAGGTTTAATACTGCATTCAACAGCCCAGTCAGACAATTAATAGGACACCTCCAAACACTGTCATCTTGATGAACAACACTTTCAATGCATCCAGCTGATTAAAACAAAAACACCTCTTTCCTGCAAACTTCTAAGGACATGAATCTTCATGATGTACCCCTGCAAAGGTCAGTCTCTGAATATTATTTTGTCCCTGATACATGAACGGAAATGGATTATCTGTAACTTACTACAAGGCAGGCAGGGAGGGTCCACTTCCAAGATGGCTCACTCACATGGCTATCAGCTGAAGGCCTCAGCTCTCCACAGGGACCTCTCCATAAAGCTGCTTGAGAGTCCTCACCACCTGGCAGCTGGCTTCTGCCAGAACAAATGATCTCAGACAGAAAGGAGGACACTAGTGCTTTTCATTACCTTGTGTCTTAAGTCGCACATTGTCATGACCACTTTGTTCTATTCATTAGAAATATACCCCTAAGTGTAGTCCATACTAAAGGGAGAATAAGGCTCCCCTCTTAAAGGGAAAAGAATCAAAGAATTTTCAACATTTTTTGTTGCCACAAATAAAAAATTTTAGTCAAAAACATTTGAATTTACTCCTATCCATTATCAAATGATTCAACATCAAAATGTCCGATGATTTTATATACGCATTTCTTTTGCAATCTGAAAAATTTATAAGGATAATCTACAATTTGTATTTGTAAAAAAACATCAGCAATTTTTGGATTCCTGTCTTGTAGATTTCTGTCTGAAGAAAAGAAAAGTTGGCTACTTATAGGTGGTAATTAATAAAAATGATTAAGACTATGGTTAGCATCATAATTACAAAACATGAATCTGTATTGTATAGAGGCCACGGTAATGGTAAAAGAAGTTATGAGTGTACTAAAAAGGGCAATTTAAGTATAATACATACATTATTTAAGTTCTGTTAATATCAACTGTATCTTAAAATCAAAGTTAAACTTTTAATTTAGTTATCCAATTACATACTTATGAATTCATACCTGACAGACATTTCTTAACGAAATGATCAAAGTCAACATTGCCAGAAATGGTACCAAGACTGTGCCTTCAAGATTCACTGTTTTGACATGAACTCAGCATCACTTGTGTGACAATCCTGCCCAAACAGGCATAACCGGAATCTGCTCATGAGGAAATATCCAACAAACCTGAACTGAGGAAAAATCTTCAGAATAACCAAAATACCTATAAAACAGCTGACCTACACTCTTCAAAATGTACATATCATGAACATCAAAGACTAACGTACTGCCCCAGATTGAAGGCGACTAAAGACAGAGGACGTTTGGACACAACACAGCATAATAGCTTTTCTCTGCCTAAAAAAGATATTATTGAGACAATTAGCAAAATCTGAATAGGGTCGATAGATCTTTCTGATTTTGATAATTATGCTACAGTTATGTTAAAATAATTCCTTGTTCATAGGAGTAATCATGTCTACAATTTACAAATGGTTCAGGAAAAAAAAAACCTATTATATTCCTACCTGCATATTTATCTAGAAAGTGAGAAGAAGGGAGAAAACATAAAGCAAATACAGTAAAATGTTGTTTGGGGAATGGGATCCAAGAGTTCTTTGCACTATTCTTGCAACTTTTCCATATGTCTGAAATTATCAAAATAGAACATTTCTAAAAGAAAAATGAACTTTAAAAATGGTATTAACAATTTATAGCCCACTGAATAAAATAAACAATGAATCCATATTGACGGAAGTAAATGAATAATCAGAAATTTGATGAGGAACAAAGGCATTTACATAGTCTCAAAGCTCTTCCCTATAAAATAATAATTCACTATAAAGTGAAAAGGGGACATTCTAGTGGAGAAATCTGGCCTTGCTACATTCTCAGTGACCATTGCTATAATATCACCAGGAAGGGGACAAATCAAAATCATAGGCCAAATGACAGGATGCAGGGAGAAAGACTATAGGACCACTTCTGTAAGCCTTTGGCTGAAAGTGTTTGATTTGAAGCTTATCAATAAAAACAGAAAAATCCACATTGAGGTACATTCTACGTTACTGGGATTTACTCTTCAAAAGATTTAAGGTCATGAAAATCAAGGACAGACTGAGGAACTGTTCCAGACTGATGGCGACTAACAGGCACAACAGCCAAATGTGATGTGTGGGTCTGAATGGCATCTTTTTGCTCTAAGGGACACTACAGACTAGTGGCAACATGTGAAAAAAACATGAGGATTGAATGCTCAAATGTATTAGTGTTAATTTTCTGGTAATTATGTGGAACATACTAACATGTAGGAAATAAACACTAAAGGAATCAGGAAGAATGGCTTAATGTCAGCAAATATTCTCAGATGATGCCAGGGAATGAAGCTCTTTGTACTAAAACTGGGAACTTTTCTCTAATTTTAAGACTGTTTCCAAAAAATAAATCAAAAGTAAATAAATAGAAAAGGAGAAAAGCCTTAGGCAAATCTTATTTCTTCATGAAAAAATATCTGTGCATCAGTGTTTAAAATTAAATTAAATATTTTATAGCACTCTAACAATCATTAACACATCAAAATATTGATAATATCCATAGCAGTAGCATATCAAAATGTCTGTCTACATCTTGAGGTCCGTATATCGTGTTAAAAATTGGAAAATACAAAAAAGCTAAAAATTAACCCCCCTGAGGTATTAACAACAATGTGAGTGTTTGGATGCTGTTTAAATAGCTGGTACTCAGGCAGCTCCATAGTGCCAGCTTTCATTCACAAAATCTTAAAAGTTAGTAAGGTGCCAGGAAATAAAGTTTAAAATAGTGTATAAATTTTCATCATACACATGAAACAAAAATATTTTCCTTTAATAAAGATTTTCACATGTCCTATGTTTAATGCAAAAGGATGATATAAACAGACCAGTATATATATTTTTACATTTATCTTTCAGATCATATAATTTTTCCTCAAAATCTGTGCATATTCTTGTGCTGTTTTCAAAAGTAGATATTGAGTTGGATTTGACATATCAGTAGATCCTAGTGGAGGAACTCTACAGAATTCAGATTCAAATTCAGCAGCAGCTGGAAAGAAAAATAATTATATTCTTTATTTAAAATACTTCCGAGTTAACAAGTGTTACGTTAGTAAAAAAAGTTGGAACCTTTTTAAGTGTTGAGAATGAAAAATATCTATATACAACTATAATACAAAATACAAGATTACTAGTAAATATAACTTCCCATGGTTGCACGCTGAATCAGTTGCTACTGTGGCAAAGTATCAGAGCTTCTGGGTTTCTCATTACAAGATGGAACTACACAAGATAAAGATGACACAGGTCACCCTGACCACCATATACTATAACCTAGAAAAACAGACCGACCGGCAGTCCCCAAACAGTCAGGTATACCATGAAAAGTATAAACCAGGGCACTACTGGAACACACAGAAGGGACATCCCAGTTTTGTGTCAATGTTGTCAGCTGTTTGGCAAAGGTGATGTAAACTGATACCTGATGACAGGGGGAGGATGTGCCAGATAGAGGGAAGAAGCATCTGCAAAGAGCTAGAGGTGAGGAAGAACATCTGTGGAATTATAAGTAGGCTAGTTTGACAACAGGCTAGAGCAAAAGGGCACAGTAGGGTAAGTAGCAAGAGATGAGGCAGAAGGATTTTGGCAAGAACCAAACTGATTTGGGTGTTTTTATTCCTTGCTAAGGAATTTGAATTTTTCCTGAGGAGTAAAAGGCAAAACCAATAACAAAATCAATGTTTTGTCAAATCAATGAGATTAAAATGTCACCAATGAAGTGACAGTTATTCAAACTATAATTGCCTATTAGTAGATGGGTCTCAATTTTTTAGCCTTAAATCACTACCAGAAACATGAATAGTTGATGAAACCCATGTGTTCTGAGAAGTGCAGGTTGACAGTTCTACAGGAATAGCCAAAATAAAGGAAAGGTGTAGCTAAAAATAAGAACAGATACATGGACATTTTTAGATTTTTAAAAAGGTGTGGAACATCCTTAATAAATGAGGAATAAAAATATTTTTCATTATGAATGGCTATGCTTTCACATTTTTCATTAGATATGTATAAGAAATATTTAATGTAATACCTATTATCCAAACAATGCAAAGGGTTGCTATTTAGTATTTAGCATTTATTCCAGAAAGCAATGACATATAAATTTAATCATAAATTTTACCAACATACCTTCTTCTAGTTCTCTAGTTATATTCTCTTCCAATTCCTGCTGCACCTGAAATAAGTCAAATGTTATTTATAATTTTTAAGTTAAATGAGACATTATCATATAAATGATACATAGCTGATGAAATATGGCCTTTAAATAATACCTTTATTAGAAACTAGACTTAACTTGGGGATTGTTTAAATAGAAAAATAATCACATAAATAAAATAAAATAAATTCCTATTTAATTTCAGATAACATGTATCTGTAATGCTATTTGATTAACCTGACAAAAAGTACAACATTGGTGTACTGGATTTACAAAATTTCACAAAGGTGATGTTTGATCTTACTGGTGTGAAGAAATTTAAACAATTCAAGTCATATTGTACACTGAACATATTACTTTGTAATTCTTAGAAAAACTGCCCTTTATGAAAGTTTAATCAGTTTTTTTTTTTTTGCTCTAATTAATTTTTCCAAAGAATGGGTTTTCCCTTCTTGGAGTTTTAGAAAATTAAAATCTTAAGGTATGGTCTGTGCTCTTAATTTTTTTCACTTTTTTTTGTATTATTAATGTACAATTACATGAGCAACATTATGTTTACTAGACTCCCACTATTATCAAGTCCCCACCACATACCCCATTAGAGTCACTGTCCATCTGTGCTATTAATTTTTCAGAATAGGATCTTAAATAGATAAAGTGAAGAAAGTGGACTGTCATAATAATGTAATATAAAAATTCTACTGGCAAAAAATGAAGTATAAACAATCTGTTATCTGTATTATGACTAAAACACCTCTCTATTCATATGGATGCAAAGATTTCAGAAAATCTGCTTGGAGAAAGGAAAAATAGAGGCTAGAGCTAGTTTTCGAACTTAGTTTCCAAATTAATAACTTTCTAGAATTAGAAACAAGGCAAAAGATACAAAATTCTCTAATTGTAACTTTTGTTTCCTTTCTAGAAGTTGGGGCCAATTTTGGAAACCCTTGACTAGTTATACTTACCTACTTAATTATAAAATGTGGGAGAATATTTCAAACTATAATACAAGTGTCCTTTTTACAATAAAAGGGTTATACTGCATCTTATTACAATAAATGTGTTCTTATTTAAATCTTTCCGATAAAATGGATCCTCTCACTAACTGCCTTCAAAATAGGGTCTAAAGCAGTATACTGAATATAATAAACACTGTGATGATGATGATCATGTGATATGTCATGCCTTTACAAATTTTAGGTGCGAAGACAAGTTTTTTGGCTAACATGTTTCCAATATTTTCAGAAACTGTTTTCCATAACACTTTTGTGACAACTGCATTACACACAGGCCTTATGAAAGGAATAATGTGACAACATTACTAGACAGGGCTTTAAAATTAAAAACTCAATCCCAGTTCAAGAAGAAGCCTTTATTGATTGAAACAATTTTGTATTACCGTTTATAAACACTATGTAAAATGTAAATCACATTTTTATGTAACATGAATTAAGGAACTACCAATGTAATGTTAATTATCTTTTCCCCAAAAGTTCTTTTCCTAAATATTTACTTCCTTGACATTTATGTTGATTTCTAGGTAAGGACTGTGTTATGATGGTAGAAGTAGCTCAAAGTCCATTAATAAGGAGAACACATTTGCAATTTTATTTATACTTTTCCATTTATTAACAATAAAGGGGAGAAAAATGATTTCACTTGTCTGTGGAGTATAACAACAAAGCAAAACTGAAGGAACAAAACAACAGCAGACTCACAGACTCCAAGGGACTAACAGTTACCAAAGGGAAGGGGTTGGGGAGGGTAGGTGGGGAGGGAGGGAGAAGGGGATTAAGGGGCATTTTGATTAACACACAATATAGGTGGATCACGGGGAATGCAGAAGAGCATGGAGAAGACAAGTAATGACTCTATAGCATCTTACTATGCTTATAGACAGTGACTATAATGAGGTGGGAGTGAGGACTTGATAATATGGGTGAAGGTAGTAACCACAATGTTGCTCATGTGAAACCTTCATAAGATTGTATATCAAGGATACCCCAATTATAAAAATAAATAAATAAAAATGAAGGGGTGAAAATTACACACAAGAAAACAATGTATCAGCAAATTTTAACTTAAAAGATTATTAATTAGAAGGGTTTTCTCATAATTGCTGGCCCTCAAACTGTCCTTAGAAATCTAAGGTTCCACTGGGGACACTGCCTCACTCCATCTCTCTAGCTGGCAGCTCTACTTATCTCTGTTTTATGTAATAGTTTAATGTAATTTTTTCTCTTTTAAAGAAAGATTCTATTGTTTGAAAGAAAAAATGTTTTAAGGTATGAAAGTCACTAATTTATTTAAAGTCACTAATTTTACATTAAGAGGCAACAAGGCTCAGTGAGACTTGCCTAAGATCACAAAACCAATGAGCTGCAGGCAAGGAATGGGCTTTAGGTTTTCTTAACCAAGCCTAGAGTTCTACACCAGCTACCTCATCAAATTCAAGAAAAATACATATATTTTTAACTTTAACTCAGAGAAAATGAATATGTAAAACCTTGTCATGTAGCCCAGTGTTGTATAGGTCTGAGACACAAAATAGCTTTCTAACTAGATTATAAGCTTTAAAGTCATGAATAAAAATAAAGGAATAAAATTAATATCCTAAATCCTCTTAGCAACCAATATACTCAATTTATAAAACACACATTTATTATTCATAGGAACGGGACCTTGAAGAAGAAAATCTTTAGTTGAATCAAGCAAGCTAAACTTGAGGAAATTCTTCCTTAAAAGAAGTATTTGTTTCTTCCAAATAAAACCTGGTTTACCAAAATCAATCAATAAGTAAATTATCCATGTTATGGATTGCTTATAGCAAAATTTGAAATAAAACAGACTTCTCTTTATCATCTAGCATATTTCTGTCCAACCTCTCATAATTAGTTATGTACAAAAGACATGATTAATTTTGATTATAATTTAAATTCAGTCAGAATTTAGAAGAACATGTTATTTGGGATGAAGTATTTAGAAGACTGCACTGTTCCACATCTAAACTACAACCTCTAATTCATTAGTATTGTTAGGCAGAAAAATAGATATGAGCAGATAGAGGGAGAATGAGGCCAGTGAAGCCCACTAAATGGGACTCAAAGAGTGAACCAGACTGTGATGGGGTATGTGCGGGGCACTTGGTGATGGGGGTAGTCTAGTAAACATACTGTTACTCATGTAATTGTAGATTAATGATACCAAAGAAAAAAAGAGTGAACCAGATAAAACCAGAGAGCCAGAAAGGACTTACACAGTTAATAAGTTAATCAGTTGAAGTTCCAAAGGCCAGGAATAACTTAGAATGTCCAGATATACCTCAGATAAACAAAAGTATCCAAGAGCAGCCCATGTCTTCATTGCTCCAACAAGATTATGCCATTGGAACATCTACTTAGCCTGCTAAAAGACCCAGCTTATTCTTTAACAACCTATATGCGGTTTTTCCCTTTTTTTCAGCCCCTTAATCAAGTAACTTTGTCACCAGGGCAGGAGACAGACCTCAGAAGTGTAAATAAACCTATGTGGACAAAGAATGCTGACATCCAGGCCAAAAGTCACCTAAATAACCCTATTCTTAAGACAAAACTTCAAAGGAATTATAAATCACCCAAAAGGCTCTATAAAACCCCAGACCCAACACCCTTTAAGTGTACCTCCTCTCTGAGGTTGCCACACTTCCCTTTCTTTGAGTGTGTCACTCTCTGTTCTACTCCAGATAAGCAGGGTGGGGCTGCTGAGAGCTCTCCTTTGAGCTTGCAAGTCCCCCTCCCCTGGGTGACCTGATGGAACTACAGCTGTGCCATCATGCTCTTTAGTAGCCTGCTTGAAAATCTCTTTTCTTTGTTTTGGGAAGTCCTCAGAATATAATCTCACTCCATCAAGTGCTCTGTGGCTCCCCCAAATCCTGGATAGTAGTTGGCTTAGTTCCTACACCATGCAGATTCAAGTGGATACCAGACACCAGGTGACACTGGCTTTAGCAGTTGGCAAGGGATTTGCCCAATGCCAAGCAGGAGTTCATTGAGCTTCCCTTTCCTCCCTGTTTTTCCTTCCTTTTTCCTTTATTCAAGTAAACCTGCCTTTGTGCACCTTGACTCTGGCCCACTCCCTCCCTTGGAGTGTATTCAAATAAAACCTTCACTCTACTTCACTGCTGTGTCTCTGACTTTCAATTCACTGTTGCAGTGGGACGAGACACAAGGTAAACAAAGTCAACCCCCAACAGTACGTGTTAGTTAGTAATAAAGCTGGTAAGTCCATCTTCATCTATCTGGCTGACTCCTCTGCTCTCAATTCAGAAGGTGAAGAGGAGTGTCATCTGCCACCTACCCCACCAGAGCTCCAACAAGAAAGATAACTACACAACATTCAGAGAAACATTTTCTTCTTCCTTGATTTTATAATTAATCTATATTGTTCAGAACAGCCCCCACTTTCAAGAGGGAAAAAGGTGAAAGGAACTTTTAGAAAGAAATATAATGAAGCCAATAACAACAACAATAAATATTGTTCATTCACTCAATAATAATTTATTGGGGATTCAAGATGGCGGTGTGAGAGGTGAGATGGAGAACTCCTCCCAAAACCACAAATAGTATAGAAATATGGTTAATTCACACAACTAACTCTAAATCAGCAAAAAGAAAGAAGACTGAACCAGACTGCATACAGACTTGATGAACTGAGCAGACCTCACAAAACAGGGTAAAGTACGAAAGCCTTAATCTGGCAGGACCCGAGCCCTTCCCCCACCCCAGCTCACTGGCAGGAGGAAGAGAAATGGACACGGAGGGGGTGGAAGCTTCGGACTACTGAACACCTACCCTGGAGATCTGCTTTGTGAGCAGAGACGTATATTGTGTGGTGCTCTGGACGTTGGGGATCTCAGACAGGGGGAGTACTTGAGAGACTGAGATTCCAGCTGTTTGTGGAGGAGGAGATCCACATCCTACTCCTCTGTGTCAGAGGAAAGGCAGGCAGTCAGAAAGGCTTCCTAGCAGTGAAAGGGCTGC